CTCACTAAGTTATTTTCTAAACACGTGTATCCAGTTGCCAAAAGAAGCGGAGATCGTTTGTTCTTGGCACCGGATTATCCTCGAGCCACTGAAACGTTTTAACGCTTGTTTTATCATTTTTGTTTTGTTTTTAATTTTTATGGGAAGGCCTCTATATGTTCTGAAGATCGTATCAAATGTGGAATCTACCTGGCCAAGTACGATCCAGTAGATATTTGGTTCTTCTTGACTTTAGCCACAGGGTATTATAAGATTGAATCAAATGATTGTATAATCAGTTCAATGAATACAAACGCTTTTCTTGCAAATCAGACAGGATTATCTACCGTTTACACCGGTGCTAGAAAACTCTGTCTTACACCCCGCATGTAAGACAAGTCGCGTGCTTTAAATAACATCATTGACGCGCGCCTTTTATGAATGAATCGCGTTCTTAGGATGACGTCATGTTTCCGTTATGTTCAATGAAGTTGTATGTTCATACGCTACTATAAAGAAAAAGTGCGTAATGAGAATATCAGTTTTCATGATTTCAATTCCGAAAATAATTGACATGTAATATGCAAGAAAAAGAATCAAACACCGGCTGTTGGTACAAACGGGAATATCTAGCTCTCGGGTAACTGTTTAGCGGAAACTCGACAGAGCCTCGTTACCGCTGTAAACAGTTACCCTCGAGCTAGATATTCCGGTCTGTACCGGCAGTCGGTGTAAGATTCTTATATTCTTTAGCTTTTGACGTTTACTCTTCTTCAGAAAAAAAATGACGTTATAAAATAACAAATGACGCAACCTTCGTTTAACTATACGCTAAACAGAACGTGGCGTTAACACGGGAATAAAAACTTTGTCAAATATCATGAAAATAAATACAGCAATATACAATTAACTACATATAGAATATGAATCTGCACATGTGATACAAAAATTATCATAATTAATAATGATAAAAAGCCCTTGATATGACAAAAAAACATACCACATGTATATGTATATTTTTATATAGGCTGATCAGTAGCAGGTGGCTTTTGAATGTCAGTGGTACACTGTATTGGTGATGCATTGTAAGCCGTTGGAGGTGATAATGGCAAATTAATAGCAGGTAGTACAGGTAGTTTTTAATAACTGTCTGACAAGCAATCTGATATACCAGTACATGAAAGTGGTATAAGTGTATCAACAGAAAAATGCACCTCTGAGATGTGTTTTAACCAGAATCAATTAATGTTGATGCGAAGAGTTCGCATGAACAAAGTTTTAGTGTCGAAAGAATACGAAACTCGTCTAATGGAAACAAACCAGAATTACTAAACCCTCTCCCGGCAATATCAGTAACTGTTGTTTTTGCTTTCATCCATTCATCTAAGACATATTTTTTTATTTGTAACAAAATGACCAATTTTTCAAAACTGAAAGTCCGTGGCTGCTTGCTTCCAATGCTTCAAATCGCAAGTCTGTAGAAGTTGCGAGGCATATTTTAATAAAAACTAGAAATGTGTCCATAGGACACGGATGCCCCACACGCCACTGTTCTGTCAATCTTATGACTCTAGGTCAAATATTTTTTGGACTACATGTGCCACAAGTTAAAAACTAAAAATCAACATAGGGCCATAATTCTGTTAAATTTGGTCGCAGCAAAAATTCCTCCCTTTAGTACCATCTACACATTAAGGTTGTTAATCCCTGGAAGTTTAAGCAAAATCTGCCATCCGGTTTAAGAGGAGTTGCGTTCACAAAATTTCTACATAGTATATTGTGAAATAATCAACAAAGGGCCATAATTATGTTAAGTTTGGTTGCAGCGAAAATTCCTTCCTTTACTACCATCTACACATTAAGGTTATTCATCCCTGGAAGTTTAAGCAAAATCTGCCATCCGGTTTAAGAGGAGTTGCAGTCACAAGATTTCGGGACGTACGGACGGACAGACGGACGGACGGACGGACGGACGGACAAGTGCAACGCTATATGCTCCCACTTTGTGGGGGCATAAAAAAAACAATAGCATGTGCATAAATCACTGACAGGAAGTTTCAAAGGCGTATAATTCCCATCATAGGTTTCTTAACTCCCCGAAACTTAACAGCTGACATGAAAGTGTCTTTTATCCACGTATAAAACAACTCAGAGTTCATTTTTTCCCTAAAACAGGTTTAAGGAAACTTTCAAAAGGGTTTTGATGAAACCTTTGACCTGGAAAAATCATCCGAGGAAGACACTATTCAGTTGCAAGCTAGCAAAGATTTGCATTTCATCGGACGACGTAAAGTTATACACATTGAATATTTTATCAGGCTCATTCATTAAAGAGTGAATGGTCCTCTACCTCGTCAGTGATATACGTGCAACGACGTTGATAGAATGTCATAATGAGCATGATAATATGCAAATACTAAAGTTGTTGAATTAACATCAGGAAATGTTTCCCGTATATATAAGCACGGGGGAGGAAGTGTTACACGAGGGATGGTGTTCTTATGATAACTTGTCAAGGAGTTCTTGTGATAACAGTCACGGAGTTCGTCGGAAAACTATTATATACACTGCAAAACACTCGTCAAAAATGGTAATTTTCATCGTTAAAATTAAGTTTTAGGTGCTAAATTAAACTTTATACATATTGTCGGTGTGACGTAAAACAAAATAAAAAATGTACATTGTATTATGTGTCAAAACTAATTCATAGTCCATTTTTTCATGGCCTCTTGCAATCAGGTAGTTTTGAGTAAAATTTTCAAATTATTTGCCAATTTGCAAGTATTGACTTTTTTATTTCATGTCTTCATCCTTGCCATACGTAATTACCTAATCATAATGCAAAAAACGCAAACATAAAGCCCCGACTAACAAATTTATACCCGATTTTTTTAAATGTCCCGGAGTTCTTGTGATACCTCAAAATATGTTCTGGAGTTCTTATGATAACTTTTGATAAATTTGTCAATACTTGGTGGCCAGTGGGGGGGGATGTAGACAACTGCCGGACTGGAGTTGCCGTACCCAAAGATTTCCCAGTCTTTGTCTCGGGACGAGACTTCTCGAGGGGAAAGGAATGTAATGACGTTGGTAGAACGTCATAATAAACATGAACATGATATTATCACATAAATCGCGGCGCAGGAGTGTAATAAAGCCATTTATTTCATGCTTTTCGGTGGTTTATAGAAATATATCAGTGATATAAAACTGGTAATTTCACTGTTTGAAACAGTGTAATTACCACTTTGATAATTTCACTGTTTTGAATTTAAGCCCCTTACGTTGTTTCGGTGAAATACCAGCGTGCACAGAACTGGGTACCAACTTAATGACGTGACGTCGTAAATGACGTCATGTTGTATTATTATTTGGCGCGCTTATCATTCAGTATTAGGTTAAATGTCTTTTTAAAACGTTTCTTTGCATATAATAAAAAAAAATTTGTTTAGTTTAGTGTAAGATCGAAATATATTTCACCTTGTGAACACCAAAAGTTCATATTTCACTCGTGGCTGCGCCACTCGTAAAATATACCTTTTGGTGCTCACTCGGTGGAATATATTCCGATCTTACACTGAACTAAACAAATATCCTCTATTTAATAAAAACAATATTACACTAGACGATATCACTAGTGTAATAACACTTTGACGTCACTTCATTTGCGCTAAAAACATAGCGTTAAAGCGCGCTAATGTTAGCTTACACTACAGGCGCGTCAAAGAAAAATGACTCTTGATAACAGTTTACCGTTCTTATTTTATATATGTGATAAATAGAATATGATATTCGTGTAGACTCAATACTAAATTTATTGAACTCGTTGAATAAAATCATATTATGCGAGCCTCTACTCGTTGAATAAAACAATATTATGCTCGCCAGAGGCTCGCATAATATGATTTTATTCAACTCGTTCTTAAACCTACACTCATTCAATATCCTCTATATATTACCGGCGCCAGTGATGGCAGATCACTGCAGTGATGGCAGATAGCTGAAATTTACCGCTCGGTACAGGTAGGTTATAAATTTGGTTGGTATTATTATATTACACAAATACAGCCCATTTCATTGCTATGAAAATATTGTCCATTGACTGGAGATACTATTTGGACTCGCCTTTCCTGTTTTTAGACTATTTTGAGCAGGTTTAAAGTGACAGCTTCGGAAAAATCCGTGAAAATGTCTGTTTTTTGTTCAAAATATCTCAAGTTTCAACTAAATGGCAGGATTTCGTGTTATTAATATAGACGTTCATCCATTTGGGTCTCGCAAGCCAAATATCTACCACGTGAATCTTTTCTTGAAAGTTTTAATGACGTTCAATCTGGTCCGGTCGAAGAAAAAATGCTGCCGTTGTAGGCAGATACTTATATTAAATGCTGCCGTCGATGGCAGAAATACCATGAAAGTGGCTAACATTCTGACAGAAAATCAAAGTCAATCTTTTATCATTTCCTCTATTCTTTGCACCCCTTTAGTCGGAATTGAGACGTTAAACTATCATTTCTAATATTTTCTCAAGATAGAAAAGTTTTTAATGTGGTATGAGCATCCAGCACGCAGTTACAATACAAAATGTGATGATTCAGTACGACCGAATTGCACGAATACGCCCTATACAAATTGAAACACGTCTGAACCTTTGATGGAGTAATTACGGTCCTTTCCAAGTTACTGTGGCGTGCTCTGCAATTTCGGGATGTCGCTTAACAAATGCATACCACCAATCTTTACCTTGTCTATATTGGTAAAGGGATTTTGTGACCATCATCATCCGTTATTTTTTATTCATGCCGTAGTTCGTCCAAAGCCAACACTTTTTTTGTTTTTTGTTCGCCAATTGCAGTAAGAATAGTTCTCGATGTTGGAGCTAACGGAGTTCTGGCTATTGCTGACTTTGTTACACAAAGTCGATCGGCTGACTTCTTATACGCTCTGACTTGATGCTTCCCACAACAGTGTTTTTCATTGCAAACTGATCGTACGTCGTCTGTATTCGCTACGCTGCTTAGGTAGCTTATATTTACCCATGATTAGAAAGACATGAATTTTGTAAACTTGATATGTAAACTTTATATCACAAGGTTAAATTAAAGTAGCAAAGAATTTTGTTTGATATATTTTCTTATATTTAATCAGTTTGCTATTTATTTAAATCGGCAAATGTTATCATCTACAAATGCTACTGATATGTGTGACCTTTAAAATCATAATGTAAAACGTACTGGCGGTGCACCAATAATTGATAAAGAAAAAAACGTTTGAACACGTAAATTTATGGAATTCGAATATGATATTTACCTTCCAGGTTGATTTAAAGTGACTTTGAGAAGAGAAACTGCAAATATAAAAGGGCCATTTGTCATGGTATGTATTTTCTATTGTACAAACTATATTATAATAATATTGTTTGATAAATGCTTTAACGTATCAGTTACTATTTACTGATATACATGGTAGTTATAATAACACGTAAATATTGAAACCTTTTTTTAAAGGGGACTAAATCGGCATATCTTGTTTACAATTTCTACCCGAGTCTACATCTAATGCTATGTTTGATGACATCAAGGTTTTTTATTTTCTTGTATGAATTATCGTTTCATTTTCTGTTTCTTCGTGATTGGTTTAAACATTTTTATATAAGCTAGTTTGCATAACAAGTTTTTGCAACTTTTATTAATCACGCTCGAGTCTGTTTCCTGGAACCAACCAGTATTGGTGTCATATGAAGAAACATGTGGTCGTTAACCGATAAGGGATCGAACCCACCATGATCCCAGGTTTGAGAGGCAGATACCTTATTCACTAGGCCATCGCTCCCTTTCTTCGGGATCATTTACACTTCTCGGAGATTCTTTCCTATTTAGGCTGTTTAATGATTTCTACATCTAATTTAGCTTTTTACGGCATACGGTATCTTAATAATAATACATATTTCAACACAGTATAATACCGTTTAAAATCTGCTATTACCATTTCCCATTGTTTTCTTTAGGCTACAAGGGGCTTGCTCGTCGGGGCGATAGACTTCGGCACAACATATTCTGGCTGGGCTTTCTCCTTCCTGAATGATTTTCACTTGGATCCTACTAAAGCGTCTGTCAAGCAATGGTACTCTAGTGGAATTCTAGTTACAGAAAAAGCACCAACGTGTTTGTTGATAAAGTCAGATGGAAAGACTCTTGAAGAGTTTGGATATGATGCTGAAAACAAATACAGGGAGCTTGCAGACAATGAAATGCACGAGGAGTATTATTACTTCAGAAGATTTAAAATGGCTCTAAATAAAAAGCTTGGTGAGGTAGGTACTTGTAACTGTTGATTGACTGTTCTAATGTGACTCTATCTTTTGTGTATCATGATCAGAATCTCGATTTACAAATGTCAGGAAAAGGAATGGACATCATTTGTTTATCTTCTTAAAATAATGTACATAGATAACAAATATACATGCACTTATGAACATATGGTTTAAGAATTATTGATTGGTATTTTAAAAAGAATGACTTTAAACTTCAGAAACTGGACCGCGGCATGACAATAGAAGATGAGATGGGAAAGTCGATGATTGCGTTAAACGTGTTTGCCATTGCAATCGAATATCTAGTAGGAGATATGATGAAGAGTGTAAATGATACACTTAAAACTCCTTTAAAAAAAGATGATGTTCATTGGGTGCTTACTGTTCCGGCAATATGGACAGATGCTGCAAAACAATTTATGAGAGAGGCTGCGGTGCAGGTTATTTTCGTCTTCTCTTTTTCATGTAGACGTTTTAAATGCTACCTTCATCTGTATTTCAAACATTAAAAATTTGTAAACGTGCGTGTGTGCGTTGTCATTTGACAATTAGATTTCAAAGAATGTAAATCACTATGTTTTTTGCTATTGTGGGAAATTGGAATAGAAATATGTATACATGTACTAGACACCGTACTATTTGCTTTTATAAACCTATGGTAATGTAAGTGTTTATTCTCTAAAAACATATGTTCGTCAATTACGTTTAAAAGTAAAATGTTGATATATGCTTATTTTGTTTTTGTTTTTATTTCAAGGCTGACCTTTTAACGAACAAATTGACGATTGCACTGGCGCCAGAAGTAGCATCGATATTTTGCCGCCATCTATCGGTGGATACAGCTATTTCTGGTGGAAATATTTCAATAGCGAAGATGCCTGTCGGTACTAGATACATGGTTCTCGATGCAGGAGGTATGAAACTTTTTCTTTTATTTGAACGAAATACCAAATCACACATGTCTCTATATCGGACTGTGATTTGTTTATCCTAGGTTTTCATTTAGTCAAATATCTCGGTATTCTTATTCGTTTTACTATCGACAGATTTATAGTTTTGTCAAAGTGTTTTTTAATAGATGGGGGACTGGGATAAAACTATATAGTATCGTTAGTATGTTTGTTTCCGGGGATAGTCTGTCTACCTTTTTATTTCCTTTTAATCGGGACAAATGAAATCACTATGCTGGAAGCTTAAAAGAGGAATTTGTTCTTGCAATTTAGCTTAATTTGATGCAAAAGTTGACTCTTCAAAACAAAATCTTCTGCAGGCATTACATATATAATGGTCAAAGATGCTGATGGCGTTTTTATCTTTTAATATTGATATATCCAGGTAAAAGGATTTTCCTGTTTATGATTCATAGGATCTTCCGTAATCCGTAATTAGATTGGGGCATATTTTCTACATATTGGTAGCTAAATATTTATGCTACAATTCTCTTTCAGAAATACTCAATTAAAACGTGTATATATGTTATCACAATAACGGTTCTAGATTGTTTGGTGTTTGACCGTGCTTTTGGCATCCCTTAAAGGGAGACACAGGCAAAATTTTCATTTCTTTGTTTTGAATTTTTTATTAATTATTCTGTTAATGCCCTGAAAATGAATACATTAGACAGTCAAAGGAACCAATTGTTTCTCCATATAAAGAATAAAATGGTGGTTTTCTATCTTGACCCGCGTGGGTCAGGTTAGAGTCACCTAGGATTTCATAATATTAGTCGTCAAAGTGAACTCTGGAAACGTTAAAAACATGTCAAATGAATGTCTTAGACTTGTTTCAATCATACAATATCCACAATACCTGTTATTGTAACTTCAAGGGTTTGTTCAAGTCACATGACTTGTTTTAAAAAATATTCGGTGATTCTATTGGCGTCTAAATTTTGTTCAACATAAATAGATATATTTACGCGTTAAACCTAAAATATATAGAGTTTAAACAGAAATTCATCTTGAAACTTTAAGAAATGTCATTCTAGTGTGATTTGAGTACATAAGATCAGTTTAATATTTTTTGTTATTTGTTTGCCTGAGTATCCCTTTAACCCATTAAAACAAATATTTGCAAATGTCATAAATGATTAAATGTCATGACATTAATAGTAACTATCAATGAAATATAGAAGAGCCGAATAGACTTTTCCAATTTTCAAATTCATTTGTACTGTAGGTAGACGTAACTCGAAATAAAAATGCGCTCCATACATTGATTGTAAATTCTTATATATCAAAGGAAGCCTTAATACTTTCTATAGAAGAACATTACGGTCATCCATAAACATTGGTTTCACATGTACCATCGCTACACTTACTACATAGTTATATTCCAATTCCTCTGTATAATAACACTTTGATAAGACTATGAATCAGCCGATGTACAATGTATGTTGCTTTGACTTTGACTACTGGCATTTGCAACTATAAATTAGAATCTATACCTTTAAAATGTATAATTATACAACTTGAGTTTAAGATTTTAGTGAAGTGCCTTTGTTCAGCATTACAATTCGGCGATTGATTGAGAGTTGCAGTATGCCCCAAGCGTAAAATCAGCCCGTTGCCTTGTTTTCCCGTAATATGAATCAATTCGGTGCCATTAAAAATTTACAGGGTTGTCAAAATATACGTATTACAAATTCATTAGGCTACCGGACAAAACATTTTACTAAAACCATTATATTATCGCGGAATGATTTTTTCTTTAATTGATCATTGAATACCCGAAAATTCATGGATAATAATTACTTTTTTGGCAATTTTATGCTAGTGTTTGCTAGTACTTCACTGACATGTGAAATTTGTTTTTCGATTCCAACTCATAAAAAAGACCGTTAACAAACCTTATAAAGTTTTATAGGATTTCCTTAAACATTGCAATGTTCCGTGCAAGTAGAATATTCATAGACTTTAAGATGTAAATGTGTTTATTTTATATATTTTCTTACCTTGTCAAGCTAAATATCAATTTTATCTAAATCAACCGGTGTCAATAAATCCAAATCAGTTCAGGAACGGGAAAATATTCCAAATCAGCCCGGAACGATTACGCACCGTGTATATATGATTATGCATACTTTTGAAAAAGACTTTGCTCACTCTTGTCGGTCTTTACATTAACAATCGTTGTACATGTACATGAAATTCCACTTTCTTCGACAAAATGATAAAATTCCTTTTCTTCTTATTACATCATACTTTTATGATGATTTCCAAAGTTCTTAACATGAGGTATGCTACCTATAACTCCGGTCAAACCGGTAGGGGACTTAAACACTTGTGACATTACTACAATGATGATTAATTTAAATGTGACCTTGAGATCATTTATGATCTTGACCGTCACGAGATTGAAATAATATTACGTTCATGAAAACATGTTTTCTTGGAATACTCTTTAATACATTATTATTCCTCTGATGAACTTGACTTTAAAATGATAAAAGGCCGAGCGTGCCCATCAGACACTGGCTATATTGTTGTATTGTTTAAGAAGCTTACTCAATTAAAAAATACTTTGTTTAATCAAACTGTTTCTGTTTAAAATTTGTGTGTATGTATTGATGTTTTTTGCAGGTGGAACAGTTGATATAACGGTACACGAGATTGTTAATGAAAACAGCGTAAAAGAGATCCAATCAGCAAGTGGTGGTGGGTGGGGAGGTATACTAGTTGACATGGTTTTTGAAAACCTGCTTATTGATCTAGCTGGACCCGAGGTTTATAAAACCTTTAAACGTGATGAGACAGACGACTGGCTTGATATTTGGTGCGATTTTGAAGTAAAAAAGCGATCAGTTGGACCGGAAAATAACGCTCGGGTTAATATGAGATTTCCTCTTTCGTTCAGCAAAACCTTTGAAGAAATCACTAAAGGAAATCTAATGGATGCCATTAAAGCTTCAAAGTATGCAAAGGATATTGAGTTTTGCGGAGACAAGATAAAAATTTCCGCAAGTCTCTTTAAAAGTCTTTTTGAACATTCCATCGGAAAAACTATCAACCATGTCACAAGTCTACTTCGAGATGCAAATGTAAGAAAGATAAAAACAATTTTGATGGTAGGAGGATATTCTGAGTCTCCTATGCTGCAACATGCAATTAAACAAGCGTTTACAGGACAAGATGTTGTTATACCAATTGGTGCATCTTCTATTATTCTTAGAGGAGCTTTAGTGTACGGACATAGTCCGGTATCCATACGGGAAAGAGTCTTGAAGTACACATACGGTGTTGATTCACATAAATCATTCAAAGAAGGGACTGATCCAGAACATTTGAAGGTTATAGGTGCAAATGGTGCACGATGTAGAGTTTTCAGTAAACATGTTGAAAAAGGACAAATCGTCAAATGTAATGAACCGCAAGTTGAAAAGTCTTACAAGACAAGAAACAAATTTCAAAGTGCAGTAGATTTTGACATTTTCGCCACAGAACAATGTAACCCAAGATATACGACTGAATGTACGCTTATTGGAAAATTGGAAATTGATCTTCCGGAACCAGAGGAGCAGCCTGGAAGAAGGATCAAAGTGTCTATGACGTTTAGTGGAACAGAGATTATCGTGAAAGCAGTCGATGAGAAAACAGGCAAAAACTGGAGCGTTTTCATCAACTTCCTTGGATAAATTTTAATGCGTATCTGCCAATAGTTATATGTACAGTGTACTTAGTTTTTTTCTGCGTAATGACTAGTTTTATTTTAAAGATATTATGAAGTAGTAAATGAAAATCGTTTTAAAAAAATCTTGATAAAGTTAGACCGGGAGAAAACTTTTGACTCATTTATGGGGAATGGTCAAATGCACAAATTTGTAAAAAGAATTCTTCGCAATTAAATATAATAAGGCTTCATAAGTTAAAACATATAGTTTATATATAACTAATACATGTATGTTGCTTATTTGTTAGAAATAGTTGTTATTGCGCACATACAAATCAAAATGTGCTAAATAACTATACTAATATAAGGGCGGATACGGGTGTGCATACGAATTTAAAGAGAGTGCGTAATCACCTTAAAATTATAATAAATAATAATAGAGACTATAGTGAGCAATTTCACTAAACATAAAGGATAAGTGAAAATGATGTGCTATAAGATGGGTTATAAACCACATATAGAAAAGTTCACTTGAAACGGAAAAAAAACAGATAAAATTTGGCCAGGGAAGCATTCTCAAATATAAACACCCAAAATGTTGTATGAGAAAGATATATTTATCATTTGTATTGTTTTAAAACATGCAGATTTGAATAAGTAAAGCGCAGAAAACCTGAACAGAATTTAGTGTGTCAAATCTCAGTAGAGCTGCGGAACGGTATTCTGAGGGTCCCGGGTTCGACTCTTTGTCAGGCCTCACATTTTTTCTCATCCTATGTTACATGCAAGTTTAAACTTTCAGTAACTTTGTGAGATCCGGGTGATGTCACAGACATTCAATTAATTCTTGAATTGACATATTGACTTTCTCCCATGCTTCTGGTCAAATCAAACGCACGCGAACTTATTTGGCGGCAAATTACAAAATATCAATAACAATCATATAACATTATTTCCTCGTTAAACTCCATATACCAGGTTTTGATAAAGTAGCCATTCTCGATAATTGCTACACAGCTTCATAATTGTTTATTGAATAAACACTCGTGTATTATTTATTCAGAGATTGTTTCCCAATATTTATGTTATGATTAATTTAATACGTATTGACTATAATAAATTAATAAATCACAGCGATATGAAGATTTTGTGTTATGTTGTATCAACTGTTTGTTGTTTAAACATGATGGCAGCTCGTTGGCACTTTCCGTCACAAGTAGCTAAAATATGGATATCTAGTCTATACGGAACACGTCGGCTCTTTCTCGTATGGTCTCGTAAGTAGAAACGCGAATACACAAGGCAATATACGTTCTTCATACAACTTCTGCAAACTTACTACTTCGTCTAAGCGATTTTAACGGCGGTTACCCCATTAAAGGTAGCTAAATCTTATTTTAAACCAGCTTCCTTCTATTGTTATATACGGCACTTATAGTTTGGCAAATGTCTTAGGTATATAGACTATGAAAATGTTATGTTTTAAATGTGTTAAATGTGCATATTTTTTTGACGAAACACAAAAGTCACATTCAAAACGATAATCATGTTGTCTTTCTCACATATGATCAAAAAAGTTAACATATTTCTGCTAATAAAATGTAATTCTGGTTGAAGTATAATGTCGTAGCAGCCGTATGCGCTAATTCATTTCTAGAACAAACTATTTTGGTTCGTTTACTTACTGTTTTATTCGTTTTGGCAATAGCGTTGCACAGATTCGTCGTTACTTTTACGCTATTTGCACATTCGACCATTACTGGATATGCACGGTGTGGTATTTTAACCCACCAGGATTAAATATAAAGGCATTTAAACTATGGCCCGGCCACACTTAGATTTCAACCACGGATTTTAAGTTATAATTGATTTTCATAGAATCAAATCAGATTGTATAATCAGTTCAATTGAATACAAACGCTTTTCTTGCATATCAGACAGGATTTTGAAAATCTACCGTTTACACCGGTGCTAGAAAACTCTGTCTTACACCCCGCATGTAAGACAAGTCGCTTGCTTTAAATAACATCATTGACGCGCGCCTTTTATGAATGAATCGCGTTCTTAGGATGACGTCATGTTTCCGTTATGTTCAATGAAGTTGTATGTTCATACGCTACTATAAAGAAAAAGTGCGTAATGAGAATATCAGTTTTCATGATTTCAATTCCGAAAATAATTGACATGTAATATGCAAGAAAAAGAATCAAACACCGGCTGTTGGTACAAACGGGAATATCTAGCTCTCGGGTAACTGTTTAGCGGAAACTCGACAGAGCCTCGTTACCGCTGTAAACAGTTACCCTCGAGCTAGATATTCCGGTCTGTACCGGCAGTCGGTGTAAGATTCTTATATTCTTTAGCTTTTGACGTTTACTCTTCTTCAGAAAAAAATGACGTTATAAAATAACAAATGACGCAACCTTCGTTTAACTATACGCTAAACAGAACGTGGCGTTAACACGGGACTAAAAACTTTGTAAAATATCATGAAAATAAATACAGCAATTTACAATTAACTACATATAGAATATGGATCTGCACATGTGATACAAAAACTCTCATAATTAATAATGATAAAAAGCCCTTGATATGAGAAAAAAACATACTAAATGTATATGTATATTTTTATATAGGCTGATCAGTAGCAGGTGGCTTTTGAATGTCAGTGGTACACTGTATTGGTGATGCATTGTAAGCCGTTGGAGGTGATAATGGCAAATTAATAGCAGGTAGTACAGGTAGTTTTTAATTACTGTCTGACAAGCAATCTGATATACCAGTACATGAAGGTGGTATGAGTGTATCAACAGAAAAATGCACCTCTGAGATGTGTTTTAACCAGAATCAATTAATGTTGATGCAAAGAGTTCGCATGAACAAAGTTTTAGTGTCGAAAGAATACGAAACTCGTCTAATGGAAACAAACCAGAATTACTAAACCCTCTCCCGGCAATATCAGTAACTGTTGTTTTTGCTTTCATCCATTCATCTAAGACATATTTTTTTATTTGTAACAAAATGACCAATTTTTCAAACTGAAAGTCCGTGGCTGCTTGCTTCCAATGCTTCAAATCGCAAGTTTGTAGAAGTTGCGAGGCACATTTTAATAAAAACTAGAAATGTGTCCATAGGACACGGATGCCCCACACGCCACTGTTCTGTCAATCTTATGACTCTAGATCAAATATTTTTACAAGTTGAAAACTAAAAATCAACATAGGGCCATAATTCTGTTAAATTTGGTCGCAGCAAAAATTCCTCCCTTTACTACCATCTACACATTAAGGTTGTAAATCCCTGGAAGTTTAAGCAAAATCTGCCATCCGGTTTAAGAGGAGTTGCGTTCACAAAATTTCTACATAGTATATTGTGAAATAATCAACAAAGGGCCATAATTATGTTAAATTTGGTTGCAGCGAAAATTCCTTCCTTAACTACCATCTACACATTAAAGTTGTTCATCCCTGGAAGTTTAAGCAAAATCTGCCATCCGGTTTAAGAGGAGTTGCAGTCACAAGATTTCGGGACGTACGGACGGACAGACGTACGGACGGACAAGTGCAACGCTATATGCTCCCACTTTGTGGGGGCATAAAAACACAATAGCATGTGCATAAATCACTGACAGGAAGTTTCAAAGGCGTATAATTCCCATCATAGGTTTCTTAACTCGAAACTTAACAGCTGACATGAAAGTGTCTTTATTCCACGTATAAAACAACTCAGAGTTCATTTTTTCCCTAAAACAGTTTTAAGGAAACTTTCAAAAGGGTTTTGATGAAACCTTAATTTGACCCGGAAAAATCACCCGAGGAAGATACTATTCAGTTGCATGTTAGCATCTGACGACCCAAACAAATAATTATTATGTGTCAAAACTAATTCATAGTCCATTTTTCATCGCCTCTTGCAATCAGGTAGTTTTGAGTAAAATTTTCAAATTATTCGCCAATTTGCAAGTATTGACTTTTTTATTTCAAATCTTCATCCTTGCCATACGTAATTACCTAATTATAATGCAAAATTGCAAACATAAAGCCCCGACTAACAAATTTATACCCGATTTTTCAAATGTCCCGGAGTTCTTGTGATACCTCAAAATATGTCCTGGAGTTCTTATGATAACTTTTGATAAATTTGTCAATACTTGGTGGCCAGTGTGTGTGTGTTGGGGGGGGGGGAATGTAGACAACTGCCGGACTGGAGTTGCCGTACCCAAAGATTTCCCAGTCTTAGTCTCGGGACGAGACTTCTCGAGGGGAAAGTAATGTAACGACGTTGGTACGAGAACGTCATAATGAACATGAACATGGTAATATGCAAATACTAAAATTGTTGAATTAACATAAGAGAATGTTTCTCGCATATAAGGACACAAACCACTCGCGGTGGTGAGATAGCTTTTCACCGACAGAGTTTGTGTGCCTTCAAAACGTTACATACGCCCTTTACAAATTGAAACACGTCTGAACCTTTGATGGAGTAATTACGGTCCTTTCCAAGTTGCTGTGGCGTGCTCTCTGCTATTTCGGGGTGTCGCTTAACAAATACATACAACCAATCTTTACCTTGTCTATATAGGTAAAGGGATTTTGTGACCATCATCATCCATTATTTTTTATTCATGCCGTGGTTCGTCCAAAGTCAACACTTTTTGTTTCCCAGCTGCAGTAAGAATAGTTCTCGATGTTGGAGCTAACGGAGTTCTGGCTATTGCTGACTTTGTCACACAAGGTCGATCGGCTGACTTCTTACGCTCTGACATGATGCTTCTCGAAGTGACATTGAACTCGACTGGACTGCCGCAACAGTGTTTGTCATGGCAAACTGATCGTACGTCGTCTGTATTCGCTACGCTGCTTAGGTAGCGTATATTTACCTATAATTAGAAAGACATGAATTTTGTAAACTTGATATGCAAGGTTCAATTAAAGAAGCAAATAATTTTGTTTCATATATTTTCTTATATTTAAACAGTTTGCTATTTATTTAAATCGGCAAATGTTATCATCTACAAATGCTATAGTCTGATTTTATTGACCTGTCAATTATGAATACATAATAGCACTCATTTAAATATTCGATCCTACTTTTTTAGATTAGAGTTATTTTTTCTTTATTTTTAAGTATATTATAATGAAAATGATCAAGCGCTTTCAGAATTTTCTACACAGATATGAAACAACTAAGAAACACTGAATTGTCACGTTTTGTATTGTATTTTACGGCACTGAAATGACATTTATTGATCTTAACCCAAATGAATTTTGAATATTATTAATTCTTTAACAATGTTATATAATAAAGTATAGTGTTAACAAAAAAGTGCAAACACCTATTAAAACAGAAAAAAACAACATTAACTTCAAAAATTTTGAAAATAGTTATGATTAAGAAAAAAATGCCTGGACATACGCTGTCTCGATCTTACAACACGTAGGACATTTAGAAATTATATACCCGTAGTTTACCCTATTGCGCTATAACGGTCAGTGTAACTTATGCATAGAAACCAGATGAATTTAATCATATCTTACTGCTTAAATCTCACGGAATTTACCGAACATTTAGCGAATATTAATATATTCTGTGCATTGACCGTATAATCAGTATGGAATTGACAGGTTAATAAAATCAAACAATACCTGATATTTGTTACCTTTAGAATCACAATGTAAAACGTATACTGTCCTAGGATAATAATTTGAGCCTTTGTTAACATAACAAAGACCAATAACAATGTGAAAAATTGGTTTGGCAGATCAATGCCACAACCTATAAAAATGAAAATAAAACTACAAGTTTTCATATGTCTTGTTAGCGAAGTAGGTAGAGCAACCGTGTCAGTAATATATTTTACCCGTACAGGCAGAAGTTCGACTACTGGTAAGACACTTTTTTACCTCAGAAAACAGTCAATTGTTCAGAAAACAAGTTTGACCCTTTTTTTTCATTTTCATACATAAATATGAGATCGACTATTTTATTACACTGCGATCAAAAAAAAATACAAAAAGA